ATGTTATCTCATTTCCTGGCTTCTCAAATGCAGGATCCAGCCAAATTTGACTCTTATTTATAGCCTGAAAATACCTTACCCTTCCCTACCTCCACAGCACCCCCATCACTAGCCATGCCACTCTCTACTTCCCCAAGCTCCAACTTCCACTGCTTAAGATGGTTTTTACCCATCAGTGATTGGCCCAAATATACTGTCCCTTGGATAAAAATTTTCTGGCTGAAATAAAGTTTCTTCCCACAATAGCATTTACACATTACCTATTCTAGACTAGTCGTCTTGCTTATATTTTATCTCAGTATGACACTGACACTATCTTTAGTCACACTGTACAAATGAGGAAACCGAGGCACAGAGCGTTTAAGTCACAAGTCCAGGGTTACTCAGTTAGCAAGTGGCAGTGATGATTTATTATAAATATGCTGCATCTCATCATTATGCTGATGAGGAGAGAAAACCAGATTCTTCCATAGAGGTTTTTTCCTAATCAAAGGAACTTCAAGTTACCAAAAACTAATTAATGTATCAGAATTGAAGCTTGGTTAGTGGACATAGAATCCTCAAATTTTCAAACTTTCCTGAGTTTAAAGTTTGGCCAACAGTTGAAGGCAGTGCTGCCTGAGCTTTAATTTCCGGCAGTAGGCATGCAGAAGGTATGTTGGAGACTGCTCTTTGAGGGTGAAGTTCAAAGACAGTGTAAGCTCTGTACTTCTGACCTGATTTCTGTTGCAACTGTTCAGGGTCAAACTGGAAGGTGGTACAGATGCTCTTTTGCACATGACACAGAAGGCAAATCGGCTACCTACCTCCTGGGGTTTTAACCTGAGTCTCCAGTCATGAAGACGACTTTGGGGTATATGCACATTTTTCTAGAGATAGATTTTATAATGTTCACCAGATTCCTTAAGGGACTATGAATAGCAAATATCAAGAATGGCAGTGCTCATTTTAGAGATATTATAGAGGCAGAAGAGTTCTCTGTGGAGACACAAGGAGTATTTCTGAGATGTTTAGAATCTGGGGAAGGGAACAGTTTCTCTTGGATATGAATAAAACTGCTCCTTAGGACCTGCACACGGATCGTTTGCTTGTTCTCAGGGAGGTAAAGCAGTCAGGAACTCAAAAGATTCACCCCTACTTGATAAAGAAAATCTGAGGCTCAAAGTCAGGGAGTGACTTATATGAGACCGCACAGTTCAGAGCTGGGAAAAATGTGAATCCTGTCTTCTCTGGCTCCACTTTGCAGTGTTCTCTCTTTATAAAAAGATGAGTAGAATTATGTATTCTTCCTACTAAAGATTAAGAAAGGAGAGTTCAGCTGTTTTATAGTGGATCTTGTAATTATTTCCTAGCCATCAAATACTTTTCATTCTTAAGTTTCTCTGTCTTCACTAGGCTAATCCTCCGCCTAGCGGCACCGGCACACCGGGTTCTAGTCCCGGTTGGGGCGCCGGATTCTGTCCCGGTTGCCCCTCTTCCAGGCCAGCTCTCTGCTATGGCCAGGGAGTGCAGTGGAGGATGGCCCAAGTGCTTGGGCCCTGCACCCCATGGGAGACCAGGAGAAGCACCTGGCTCCTGGCTCCTGCCATCGGATCAGTGCGGTGCGCCGGCCGCAGCGCGCCGGCCGCGGCAGCCATTGGAGGGTGAACCAACGGCAAAGGAAGACCTTTCTCTCTGTCTCTCTCTCTCACTGTCCACTCTGCCTGTCAAAAAAAAAAAAAAAAAAAAAAGTTTCTCTGTCTTCTTTTTAACCTCCAATACTTCAAATCATCGCCAGGACATAGGAAGGTACAAAGCAGTGTAAGCATGGGTATTTTACCCTCCTAGAAAAGTAATCATCACAACACATCTTCATAGGAGCAAAACACTGTAATCTTCATTTTATAGATGATCAGATAAAGGTTTTTGGGCAAGCAAACAATCCCCCTAAGCAGAATAGCATGGACTTTTGCTTAATTCTGGAGTTTCTCAAGGGTTTGATGTCAGGATGGGAAATATGGAAACCAAAGTCTTTGGGAGAACCCAGATGTAGAGAATATCCCTGCTGTGGAAAATCCCACAGGAGTCTCAAAAAGAGTCACGGATCATCGCTTACCTGGAAAGGAGATGAACTGTGGAAACACAGTAAAACACTGAGTTAGAAAGTCAACACTAGCCACAAAATAAAGGTGGAGTTATAAGTCAGGAGCTGGTACAATACCTAATGGCTGTTAGGGAGACGCTCCTAATCATACCAAGCAGACATCTCTGGTCAATCAGATAACAGTGTGCTATGGACAATACCCTCCTACCCACGCTGACTGGACAGTTCAAACATAAGTAAGGCAGGAACAGTATTGACTGGACTGTTAAACTGCAAGCAAGGAGGAAACAGCATTGATTGGACAACAAGTCGGAGGACAGCAAGCTGGAGGACTGCCGGAAAATGAGGATAAAAAGGGGAGCCCTTGCACTGCTCCCCATCCTCTCGGGGACCATGGCCTGGTGTGTGTGAACCTCTGGGATCTCCACACATCTGGAGCTGAAGAGGCAGCCCACTCCTCTGCATGGAGCAGGTAGCGGCACAAGCCGACCTGCAGAGCTGTCCCTGAGCTGTAACCCCACTGTCTGTGTGAGTGTGTGTGTGTGCGTGGGCCCAGTGCGTGCAAACCTCTGGATCTCCTCACACTTGGAGTCGAAGAGCCATCCCGCTAGCTTTTGCTACGTGGCACAAGGGGACGACAGGATCAAGAGGCCAGTGGAGCTGCTGCGTTGCTGCCCTGCTGCCGTGCCTGACCAGCCAAGATGCCGCCTCACCGCCTTACCTGGACCCCTTATCAGCCTGCTGCCAGACCCGACCACAAAGCCGGACCAGGCCTCTCAGCAGGGGACCTCTCCAACTTCTCACCTGGCCGTCCACCTGGGAACTTTGAGCCTACTGCCCAGAGTGACAGCCTTCCCACGACTTCTTGCCTGTAAGTGACTGATCTGAGATCCGTCTCTGCCAAGACATGGAGCTCTGGACCTTGAACAGTGACACTCTTTTTTGTGACCGTGATACAAGCCTTGAAAACGCAGCTTTTACAAATAATGTTAGTCATTTGTAATATAATATAACTATGCTTTGACCCTATGTTTTGACCCTATGCAAGGTATCTGCAAATAATGCTGGAGACCTTGATGTACATATACTATTATGATTGGATAGCCCTTAAAATTACTTTAACACTGTATACTGTGATCTGTGGATTAATGAATAAGTTCAAGTAGTATTATTGATATTGATAATAATAGCATTGTTTCCAGTAGCCCTCTAGTCATTAAGGAAATAGTGTTACTCTGATAGTTAAGTATTATAGTAAGTAAGTAAAGTAGAAGATAAGTAGTTGTAAGCTATGATGTAGCTGTTAAGTAGTTGAGTCATGATTAAGTAGTGGTGTTAGGTTTATTGATAAGTGTATTAAATAGTATAGATTGATAAGTATATTGATACTGATAAGTGTATTGACCTCAATGAGCATGCTGATGAGTTGTGTGATAAAAAACCCCTGGTGTGTAAGCAATAAAATCTCTCATTGGAAAGACAGTCTTGTGTCCTTGTGTTCCTTTCTTCCCCGTGACTGACAAGTCATACGTCGCACTTGCTACTGTCGAGCTGCGTGACAGTGGGCGCTCGTGACACCTCCACATCAATCAGGTATGTTTGTACATATCTGGTACTGACCCACTGCTGAGACGCACGCATGCATTCACATTATTATCTTTTCTGCCCAGTGAATCTGAAAGCGAGTTGTTTTGCTCTTGACTGCAGAAAAGTGAGGTGCAGAAAGCAGGTGATTTTTCCTTAGCCACGTAACAGGTGAAGAGTTACACGGAAGAGAACGAGTGTTCCACAGTGTGGAAATGTGCTTCCTAGTGGGGCCTTAATTTTAACAAAATGCTACCATAATGAGGCAGCATATTTAACTCATAGAGGCTTTTTATAGCAGTATCCTGCATGTGTAAAGTAAAATCTGATGATGTCTCCAAATAGTCTTTACCCTCCTCCTTTTTAAATAAAGAACTTCAAGGGCAGAATGGGAGGGTTTTACTGACAAAAATATAAAGAGTAGGATTCCTATTAACTTTACCCAAGAATAAACTCAATTTCCTAGTTTCTTACCCACTAAAAATTCCCAGTTCTTAAGAAATCAGAGGTACTTTTAGAACTGGAAATAATTTTATCTCTCTAAAAAATTCTAGTTCTTATAAATAAAAAGGTGTTTGAATACTTAGAATAATGCTGAATATCAATCATTGAGAATTAAGTCTTCCTTTTGTAATCAGTTTGGTTTTGTAAACAGCTTTTCTCAGTACTTTTAAAATCATCCTTGTTAATTAAGCCAAACCAAGAAATCTAGGGCATGTTGCAGGCATTTTGCTTCTGGGATACTTCACCATATCTAAAAAACCCCCGGGCAAGTTTTGCATGATAAAATCAGAGTTGAAGGGAAATTTACAAGTCATCCATCTAATCTCTCATTGTCATCTACAACATTAACTGAGAGGTAACCAGGAAGTACCTACTAGAATATGACCAATGGTGGAGTTCATTACTTCACACAGTAGTCCACTCCTCTGTTCAACAATTTTCATCATTGGATCCTTCTCCCGTATTTTGAATAAAAATCTGCCTATTCTTAACTTCAGTCTGGACCTGACTTTGGAAATGGCACAAAGTATTCTCTTATTCACATGTGAATTTTGAAGACTTGTTCTCCTGCTTCCAGCCTTTGTTCTTCTGTTGGAACACTCTGGTTCCTTTAATGTGTCCTCCTGTGCCTTGCATTCAGATCTGTCAATGCCATCTTCCTCCAAGAAGGCCATTCTCCTCTTAATCTACCCTAGTTTATTAATCTCCTTAAAATGTACATCTCAGAAATCATGCAGCCTTTGGTAACTTTCAGAGACTGTTGCTGCTGAGAAGTTATTGCCCTCTGTTCTCTCTTTTGGCAAAAGGGGACAGTGATCTGCCGACCTACCTTTGCCAAGATCTCATCATCCAGGTGATTCTTCTGAATCACATGTTGAAGTGCAAAATAAATTTTTTCCTGAAGCTTCTGGACCTTCCGTGGTTCTATCAGCCAAGCTCGGTCTAACAAAGGAAAATGAGCAGGTAAGACAGGGGAGGAAACATAAACTTTGTTTTATTTCACCTACTTGTAGAAGTGCTATTTCAAACAGTCTCAAGTTCCCTCTGAAGACATGTAATTATAAGACACAAATATATAAATATTTTAGAATAATACCATCACGCCAGGAATACACAACATGAAAATCTAGAGAGAATCATTTTGGTGGAAGGGACACAAGAGTTCAAACAAACTCGTTAACAATTTCCATTTCTCCCTCTTAGGACATATGCTAAAAGTTTCTTTCAAAGTACAAATTATTGACTTGTGAAAAAAATGAACTACAAACTATTGTAGGAGCAAGCACTGTGGCGCAGCGGGTCAAAGCCCTTGCCTAGCAACACCGGCATCCCATACGGGCACCGGTTCAAGTTCCAGCTGCTTCACTTCTGATCCAGCTCTCAGCTATGGCTTGGGAAAGTAGTAGAAGATGGACCAAGTCCTTGGGACCCTGTCCCCCCATGGGAGACCCGGAAGAAGCTCCTGGCTCCCGGCTTCTGATTGACTCAGCTGCAGCTGTTGTGGCCATTTGGAGAGTGAACCAAGGATCAAAGACCTCTCTCTCTCTCTCTTTCTGTCTCTTCCTCTCTCTGTAACTCTCATTCAAATAAATAAAATAAATCTTAAAAAAAGAGAACATATTGTAGAGAAATATATTTGGTCTTCAGTATCTCCTTCCTCTTCTCCAGCTTATTCTTTCATTATATACACAGGTGAAGTTATACTGTAATTTATGTAGCAGAAACATGAGCCAATGTAAAAAATTTACTCCTGAGTCCTATTTTTCTATATTGAATTTTCAGTCATGGATTGGATAATCTCTACTTCCCTCTCTCCCTCTCTCTCATATTCTTGTTTCTGTCCCTCTCCCTTTCCCATCCCCTACTCCTTTCTTTCCCCCTAAAAGATTTATAAGACAGGGTAACAGCATTCAGCTCAGCATCAATGCTTTAGGTTGAGCCTTCAATGAAGAGCCACCTAGAATCTCCAAACACTGAACAAATACTCATGGAAAAGAACTTGGACATGATCCTCTTGAACACAGTTCAGGTCAGGTGAGAAACCTGATTCTGTAATTCTAGATAGGGCACAGACAAGTGTAGCCAACAGTTAAATAAACCCTTATGTAACTGAACACAAAAGACTTCAGTGATGATTGTCAGTCTTTGGAGTTGAATAGAGAGAGTGGCTATCAAGTCAAGAACTTGGGGAAAGGGTGGGGTCTGGCACAAGATGCAGCCAACTTGGGCTGGAAATTTGTCTTCCCTCATTTTGAACATGGCAGGTAGCCAGGGTGGAAAACAAGGTATTTGCAGATGTAAAGCCTCCAAGTGTGGGTCTACAACCAGGGCTGGAAGATTCCAGCTAGAACAGTCAGGCAAATGCCAGGCTTGCCAGAATTTGATGGCATAGCATGCTCTTTTCAGAAAGTGGCTCAAGAGCTCAGCTGTCAGCTGATTTTCTAACTTATAAGAACAGGCTAGCAGCCATCCTTCTGGGTCACCATTTTCATAGATCATTCTGGTTTGATATGTCACATCTTGAAAATTGGCTGCTAGAAATTTACTGACTTGACACAAACATATCCAGAGAGTGATTCTTTGCAATGTCTCTTTTGAATAAGCAGGAGCCAGTGTAAAACCACCTCTCCTTTCCACAGACCCACAGGCTTAGATCCAGTCTACTTTTGAACTATGCACACTAGGAACAATCAAACACAATGAGGAAAGAGTAGGAGGAAAATTATTTGGCATGTGGTTGCTATCAGAAATAAATACTTCTTGTCACTTCTTCTATCTATCTTTGTGCTTCTAGGGTTCATTATTAAAAAAGAAAGAAAGAAAGAAAAAAGAGGCCCAGAGGAACAGCTTGATTTTAGACAGAGGCACACACACACACACACAAAGTTAGTAAAAGCACTCCAAGTGTGACAGTCTGTTCAATAAATGGTGCTGAGAAAATTGGATATCCACATGCAGAAGAATGAAACTAAACCAACCTACATCCCATCTCTCCCTATATAAAAAATCAACTCAAAATGGACTGAAGACCTAAATGTAAGAACTGAAGCTACCAGAAGAAATCCTAGAGGAAACATATCAGGACAGCAGAATTAATAAGGACTTATTTGAAGAAGATCCCAAAGCAAAGAGAACAAAAGTAAAAATATACAAATGAAATCTTATCAAACTCAAAACCCTTGCACAGAAAAGGAAACAATCAACAGAGTGAGGAGGCAACAAATAGAATGGGGAGAAAATGTCTGCAAATGATGCATGAGACAAAGGCTTAACATCCAGAATACATAAGGAACTCAAACAACTAAACAGCAAAAACAAAACAAAACAAAATAAAACAAAAACCCACAAGCCAAATAATAATTAAATAATCAAATTAAAAAATGACTAATAGACCTAAATAGACATCTCTCAAAAGAAACATGCAAATGGCCAGCAAGCATATGAAAAATGTTCAACATCAGAAATCATTAGGGAAATGCAAATCAAAACCACAAGAGATAGCACCTCACTCCACTTAGATTGGCTACTATCAAAATGCAAAAATGACAAGTACTGGTGTGGATGTGGAAAAAATGGGAACTCTTGTACACTGTCAGTGCTAATGTAAATCAGTATAGCCATTGCAGAAAATAACATAGAAGTTCCTCACAAAATTAAAAACAAAGCAACCATAGGACCCAGCAACAACACCTTTGGGTACAAACCTAAAAGAAATGAAATCAGTGTGTCAAAAAGACATAAATACTTCTATATTTATTGTAGCACTATTTATAATAGCTATGATAAGGAATCAACCTCTCTTATCCATCAACTGGTGAATAGATAAAGAAAATGTGGTATATATTCACAGTGAATACTATTCGGCCACAAGAAAAAGAATGGCAACCTGTCATTGGTGACAATCTGGATGGACATGGCGGTCACTATGCCAAGCACACGAAGACAAATATTGCACGATGTCACTTGCAAATGGAAGCTAAACAAATATTTCTATAAGTTGACATAAGAGTGGTCACCAGAGCCTGGGAAGATAGGTTGATCAATGACTACTAAATATAGTTCTAAGTGTAGTTTAAAAAGGAGAAATAAGTTCTGGTGTCCCAATGCATGGTAAGGTGAGTATAGTAATGACAATATATTGAAATTTTAGCTAGAAGAAGGATTTTGAATGTGTTTACCACAAAGAAGTAATAATGTTTGAAAAGAGAAAAATGTTTATCCTGAATTGAACAGGTTGTTGGTATTATTGGTACACATAATTAGAATTGCATATGAAAGTATAAGATGTAATCTTACATCATGGGTAAGATTAATTTCTTCCATTCATACTGAAAATTAAGTTAGGGTATAAGAAAAGATGTAAAGACTGTATAGATAAGTGGGTTACAGAAAGAATGAGTCTCTTGATCTTAAAAATTAAGTAGGAATGTGTTTTTTCTTCAACAGAGAGTTGTCAGTGGTGTTTTTATCCCTTTACCCCAAATCTACCTGAATAGACAGCTGAGTAAGTGACTCTGAATTTTCATTCAGGTTGAAAAGGGAGTCACATATTTATCACCTTGTTAGTATTACAATATGATGATCATTGATTATTGCATTACTTATTACCTTTCAAGCTGGCATATATATTTTTTAAAAAGTATTTCAATTGCTACAGTTCTAGCTGAACCATAAATGTTGTACAGCTACTTTTTTTTTTGAAAATTTGTTGGCATTTTATTGTATTTTGGAGTTAGAATGGTCTTTATTTTATGGAGCTCAACTTTTAATTTATAGAAGAGGAAACTGAGGCTGGGGAGCTAAATATTTAAGATCACAGAGATGGATGGTGACAGCTGGTAATAAAATCTCAGCATCCATGTCTGAAATTCTACTGGGAAATAGCAGCCATTTCTCCCACTGAGTTTCTCCTCTTTTTCAAAACTTCTTCTTCTTCTTCTTCTTCTTCTTTTTTTTTTTTTTTTTTTGACAGGCAGAGTGGACAGTGAGAGAGAGAGACAGAGAGAAAGGTCTTCTTTGCCGTTGGTTCACCCTCCAATGGCCGCCGTGGCTGGCGCGCTGCTGCCAGGGCATCGCGCTTATCCGAAGGCAGGAGCCAGGTACTTCTCCTGGTCTCCCATGCGGGTGCAGGGCCCAAGCACTTGGGCCATTGTCCACTGCACTCCCTGGCCACAGCAGAGAGCTGGCCTGGAAGAGGGGCAACCGGGACAGAATCCGGCGCCTCGACCGGGACTAGAATCCGGTGTGCTGGCGCCGCAGGTGGAGGATTAGCCTAGTGAGCCGCGGCCCCAGCCCAAAACTTCTAATATTACTAAGTAAAGAGGCACAATCATTTGCCTCAAGTAGGTATGCCAACGTTAAACTGGGTGGAATAGCCAGTGAGAGAGGTGTTTGAAGAGAACAGGGTGTCCCTTTTACTTATTTGAGGTCCCACACAAAGATATTTCCTTTAGGTCTTTTATTCTTAAAGTCAAAATAGAACTTAGCTGTAACTCAGCCACTAATTGTCTTCATTGATTTCTGTTAAAGAACAATTTTGTTTACCTGATTACAGAGTGACTCCTACTATGTGGCCCGTTCATGCTTTTGGGACAAAATTGGTAATTTTGATAAACTTGAGGTTGCTCTCCTTTGAATTATCCAAAAATATAAAAACTTTGCTAAGGAAAATACATTTCTTTTAAAAAATTTTCCTGAACACTTTCACTTAAGTGGGTATAATTGATGTTAAAAATAGAAACTAGGTTTGGAAGAAAGGAAAGGGACCCGAGACCGCCTTACCTGGAGATATCAGAACAGCAGATGAGAACAAAGCAATTTCTTCCTCAGTCAGCTGCAAGGAACACAAATTCTTTGCAAAGTCAAATGCTTCATTCACTAGGTCATCAGAACCTATAAAGAAAGAAGAAAAATTAGATGAAAATACTTGAACTTGGAAGGTGGCAAGAGTAAGGAAAGTCTTACAATCAAGAAGTTATTTAAAGAGTTGCAGAGTAGACAAGTAGAAAAGACAGTTCTAAATTCCTAACCAATAGAAAGTTTGTTGATATTAAGCATAGAATGAGGAACCCAGGCAGCATCTGATTAAGCAATGGAAATTAAACAATGAGGAGCAAATAAGCATGGTATATGTTCAGTGTAGCATATGGCTTGGAATAAAGAACCTGAATCTGACCCTATATACCCAAAATTATTTCCAGCCAAAATAATTTTAAATAAGCAACATGAAGATACTTTAGAATAGAAATGGCTTTCACAAAAAATCTAAAACATTACAAATTTGGGCTAAGGACTCTAAGTCTCAGTGGCAGTTAAATCTAGCAAGGTAGGGTGTCCAGGAGCTTCAAACTCCTATGTTAGGAACTTCTAATAGGAAAGAGATGATATATCTTTCAATCTGGTAAATTGCCTGGAGATTAGATTTAGGAGCTAGAGTTTATTTATTTTTTGTCTTATAATGAATGACTGATGAGTCACTTGTTTACTCATAGTGAATTTTGGCAAAATAATGTTGCATCGCAACCCTGATCTCTGGTAAATGTTTATTTGATGAAGCTGGAAATATACTGAAGCTGCTTGCCAAGGCTTTTCCTCCTTTCTTGAAAATCTAGCCTTGGAGACAACATGGATAAGTATCAACTGTAGAAGGAAAACATCGCAGCCTGATGGGCTTGCTATTGCCTGCCATATCAACTAACAGCACTTGGGGCAAAAGGGCAGTGGCCTTCTTTGGTGTCCAGGGGCAGGATATGGAACAAATGGCACTATCAATTGTTAGAATCTTTCCTGGCATCAGCCCATCTTTGCTAATGTTCTACTTATCCATGTGTAAACTGACGACTGGATGTGATGATACACAACACTTCCAATAAAAATGGACTCTGTCAGTGCCTTCTTGCAAGGATGGTCTGGATACTAGTTTGGCCAGCATCAGCACCAACCCTGTGCTCCCAGATCTTCATGAATTAATAGGGGGGAAGCCACTGCTGTGAGTAACAGACAAGTTAAGTAGCTTTTCTTGCCTTCTCTTTTTAAAAGATTTATTTTATTTATTTATAAGTAAGAATTACAGAGAGGGACACACCCCACCCCCCACCCCAGATCATCCATTCACTGGTTCACTCCCTAAATGGCTCCAAAAGTTGGGACTGGGCCAGGCTGAAGACAGGAGCTTTTTACAGGTCACCCAAATGGGTGCAGGGGCCCAAGAATTTGGACCATCTTCCGCTGCTTTCCCAGGTACATTAGTGGGGAGTGGGATTGGAAGCATAGCAGCTGAGACTCAAACTGGTGCCCATATGGGATGATACAGATGATGGATTAACCAGCTGTGCCACAGCACTAGCCCCAGTAGCTTTTCTCTTAAAATTTTAAACTTATTTTATTTGAAAAGCAGAGAGATGGAGAGAGAAGGAAAGAGAGAGACATAAAGAGATCTTTCATCCACTGGTGCATTCCCCAAATACTCTCAACAGCTGGGGCTGGGCCAGGCCATAGCCAGGAACTCAGTCCACATCTCCCATGTGGGTGGCAGGTACCCGGCTACCTGTGAGATCACCTGCTATCTCCTGTGGTGTGCAATAGCAGGACGCTGGAATCTATAGCAGAGCCTAGACTCAAATCAAGGCACTCAGATATGGGATGCAAATATTCAAAGAGGCATCCGACCACTGCACCAAAGGCCCACATTGCCCCTCTTTTAATTAACTACCCTGAAATTCTTAAGAATTTACATCAAGGGCCAGCATTGTCGCGTAGAGGCTAAAGCCACCGCCTGAGGTGCCAGCATCCCATATGGGCTCCAGTTCAAGTCCTGGATGCTTTGCTTCCAATCCAGCTTCTTGTTAATGTGCCAGGGAAGGCAGGGGAAGATGGCCCAAGTGGTTCGTCCCCTGCACCCATGTGGGAGACCTGAAGAAGCTTCTGGCTCCTGGCTTCTGGCTTTTGGTCCTGGCCCTGGCTGTTGCTGCCATCTGGGGAATGAACCAGCAGATGGAAGATCTCTCTCTCCTCTTCTTTCTGTAACTGCCTTTCAAATAAATGAAATGGATCTTTTTTTTTTTTAATAAAGAATTTACATGAGAAAGTTAAAAATTCACCCCAATAGACCACCAGTAGTCCAATGATATCAGGGGGCCTTCAAAAATTTCCTGGAAAAATGGAATTAAAAGATATATTTATTTTGGCTCAGAATTTTTTAAAAAATGCACCAATACTTTTTATTATAATATGCAGTTTCCATGAATTCTTTTAAGACCCCCTTTTTTTTTCTTTGTGAAACAGTAAATTAGAAGGTTCAAAAAATTAGCCAGATTTACAAAGAATGACCTATAGTGTATGGCAGCTCTTTCAGAATCAGTTTTCATTTATTCTTGAATGAGGCCACAATAGGGTCATTCTCAGCAGTCCACAGTTCCCTCATTCCTTTCCTACACTGTAGGATCAGGAGAGTTATAGGAGACACTGGAGGTTCACCTGGTCTATTTCTTATGGAGTAATGAGATCCTAGTTCACGTCAAAGAATTATGGCAGTTCACTGACCAATTTTGATCTAAGTGGGAAAAAGACTGTGGCTGATAAATTATGCTGTGATCCATGGGAAGCTTACCTAAGGCTTTGAACATCTGCATTCCTCCATATTTTCCTTCAAACAGAACAGTGTTGTTTAATGGATTGAAGGCACGGCACATTCTCACCAAAACTACTTCCAAGCAACCTAGGAATTAAAAAAAAATGTAAAAATATGCATACATATCCAATAATAAATGGTTTACTGCATTTGGATCAAGATATTTTCAACAACTTTAACACATGAACACACAGAGAAACATGTAACAGAAACCCAACATTTCTTCCCTCCAAATAACTATATTAATTATAAAGCTCTCCTTTTTTTATTCATTTCTTTTCCTTTTTTTTTTTTTTGACAGATAGAGTTAGACGATGAGAGAGAGATAAACAGAGAGAAACGTCTTCCTTCTGTTGGTTCACCCCCCAAAATGGCCATTAAGCCTGGCGCTGCGCTGATCTGAAGCCAGGAGCCAGGTGACTCTTCCTGGTCTCCCATGCGGGTGCAGGGACCCAAGCACTTGGGCCATTCTCCACTACCTTCCCGGGCCACAGCAGAGAGGTAGACTGGAAGAGGAGCAATCGGTACTAGAACTCGGTGCCCACATGGGATGCTGGCGCTGCAGGCAGAGGATTAACCAAGTGAGCCATGGTGCTGGCCCTTATAAAGCTCTCTTGATACTTATGTGAGAAATTAAAGAGAAAATATACTTTAAACATGGATAAATTGGAAGGTAGCAACAACCTTTTTTTTTAAAATTAAAATTACAGTTAGTTTCAATTCTTAAGTTCACAATTAATGACAGATGGCCCAGAAAGGAGCTTTGAGTGAGTCCAGTCTGTTAACTTGTGTAGAAGTTTTCCTATTGGGAAAAGTTGCTCTCTGCTTCATCTGTTGTATGGAGTTCCTGAACTACTCCGTATAAGTTTAAGCACATAGTGGTTTTAAGAAGGGTTTCTATCATTGTTCTTTTGGGGGGCACTGTTGCATCTTATGCTCTTGAATTAGGGTTTCTTGGTCAAATAAGTTTTTGCAAAATGCTGTATTTTCTTACTCTAGGAAGTTATAATCAATGCTCACAGACCAAAGGTTCTGAGAAGCCCTGACCTGAGGAGTTTTTTAATCTTGGCCCTAGCATTCTTCTGAGTTTACTATCAGCTCATGGAGGGCAGGAATCTTGACTGCAGTGACCGGCAGTTGTATGACCATTATATTCACTTTTGTATCTCCAGGTCTTTGGCACATGGTACGTGCTTAATAATAGTTATTGAATGAATTTGTTTATGACTGCTGCTTTTCCTCTACAAATATATACATTTTAAAGTTTTATTACTATAAAGAAAACAGATTTAATGTATTTCATAGGTACAAGTCTAAGAAGATACCCATTTTTCCTTCTTTCTTTTTCTCCTTTCCTCAGTTCTGGCCTCCTTATTTTTTTTCTTTAATTTTTTCCAAAACATAACTTCAATCCACTCTTTAGTCTCAGGCTTAATGCACCACTAACCATAATATGCAACAAGTAAAAAGTAGAAAGATTACAGTTCCACAGGAGTATAAGCAGGGGCTAAAAACAGGAATCAAATCACAAGATGTCCAATTTATTCTTCTACATATTTTTGTGTTCTATATTAACTACCACATATCAGAGAAAAGATATGACATTTGTCTTTTTGGGACTGTCTTATTCACAAAGCATAATGGTCTCCATTTGCATCTATTTTGTTGCAAAATACAGGATTTCATTCTTTATGGCTGAATAGTATTCCATAGTGTATGTATACCACATTTTCTTTATCCAGTCATCAGTTGATGTACATCTGAGTTGAATCTATGTCTTAGTCATTGTGAATTGAGCTGCAATAAACATGGGAGTACAAATAATTCATATGCTGATTCCATTTTGTTTGGGTAAATTCCCAGGAATTTTCCTAAGAATATTTACTGATATCCTGAGGAATTACAGCTGCAAAATTTCTCCACATTTTGGAGAAACGAAATTTTTCCCCAAAGGATGCTGGAAGGTGACAGCCAGACTCAGAAGTACTGCTTTGTGTGAGAGCATCATACTGTTGGCTTGGCTATGTCTTTGATGCCTTTCTTATGCTATCACTTTTTATTATGTTTGTGTTTTGTTCCCCTTGCTGTATTTTTACTTGCTGATTTCTCTTTGCTTTTGCTTTCATAAGGGATTATACGTAGAAGGAAATTTGCAAAGCAATACTCTATTTTTTTTTTTTTTTTGACAGGCAGAGTGGACAGTGAGAGAAAGACAGAGAGAAAGGTCTTCCTTTTGCTGTTGGTTCACCCTCCAATGGCTGCAGCGGCTGGCGCGCTGTGGCCGGCGCACCGCGCTGATCCGCGCTGATCCGAAGCCAGGAGCCAGGTGCTTCTCCTGGTCTCCCATGGGGTGCAGGGCCCAAGCACTTGGGCCATCTTCCACTGCCTTCCCGGGCCATAGCAGAGAGCTGGCCTGGAAGAGGGGCAACCGTGAAAGAATCCGGCGTCCCGACCGGAACTAGAACCCGGTGTGCCGGCGCCGCAAGGCGGAGGATTAGCCTATTGAGCCACGGCGCCAGCCCAATACTCTATTTTTAAAGATTTATTTATTTATTTATTTATTTGAAAAGCAAAATTACAGAAAGGTAGTGGCAGAGGTAGAGAGAGAGATCCTTCATGTGCTGATTCACTCCCCAAATCGCCACAATGGCTGGAGCTGGGCCGATCCAAAGCCAGAAGCCAGGAGCTTTTTCTGGGTCTACCATGTGGATGCAAGGGCCCAAGCACTTGAGCAAACTTTCACTGCTTTCCTAGGCCATAGCAGAGAGCTGGATTGGAAGTGGAGCACTTGAGACGCGAACCAGCACCCATATGGGATGCCGGCACTGCAGGAAGAGGCTTTACCTGCTACGCCACTGCGCCAGTCCCCAGTACTCTTCTGACATGAGAGGAATATCTAACATTTATTGAATAGCTATACTATGGAAAGCACTTTCCCTGGTTCTTTACATTTATTGTCATATTTGCTCCTAGCAATAACTATTTAGGTAAATTTTATTAGCCCTATCTTATGATGAGTTTAAGGAGCTTATCAAGGTTTAGTACCTTGCCTTTGATGCTAGAGTCAACATTTTTATAGCAGGCAGCAATGCTAAAGTTTATATAATCCGCCGGCACCACGGCTCAATAGGCTAATCCTCCGCCTTGCGGCCCCGGCACACTGGGTTCTAGTCCTGGTAGGGGTGCCGGATTCTGTCCCGGTTGTCCCTCTTCCAGGCCAGCTCTCTGCTATGGCCAGGGAGTGCAGTGGAGGATGGCCCAAGTCCTTGGGCCCTGCACCCCATGGGAGACCAGGAGAAGCACCTGGCTCCTGCCATCGGATTAGCGTGGTGTGCCAGCCGCAGCGCGCCAGCCACGGCGGCCATTGGAGGGTGAACCAACGGCAAAAGGAAGACCTTTCTCTCTGTTTCTCTCTCTCACGGTCCACTCTGCCTGTGAAAAAAAAAAAAAAAGATTATATAATCCAACAGTTCCCAAATGTCAGTCTATGAGTTGATGATATTTGAGCCTTACTTGGAAATGAATAAACTGGGTTCCCCTCTAGGAGATTCTGAGTCCTTGGGCCAAGGTTTGTGTCTGTTTCTGAACTGTGCATAAGCTCCTTTGACACTCCTGATGCAATTTCAAGTTTGGAATTCATTGTTTCTAGTTTACCTCTTTACTTTGCAAATGAGGACATTTCCATCTTAAGAAGTTAGCTCAAGGTGATGGATTAGAAGTGCAGGCATCTCATATGGGCACTGGGTTTGAGACCTGGCTGCTCCACTACCCATCAAGCTCTCTGCTATGGCCTGGGAAAGCAGTAGAAGATGGCCCAAGTCCTTGGGCCCCTACACCTGCAAGGAAGACCTGGAAGAAGCTCCTGGCTCCTGGCTTTGGATCAGTGCAGCTCCAGCCGTTGCGGCCAATTGGGGAGTGAACCATTGTATGGAAGACCTCTCTATCTGCCTCTCCTCGCTCGTGTAATGCTGACTTTCAAATAAGTAAATAAATCTTAAAAAAAAAAAAAAAAAACTTAGCTAAATGTCACACATCAAATGTGGCAGACTTAATTTTTCAAAGCGTCAAAACAAGAATATATTCTATCCCATATGCATTTCTAGGCCCTTACCCATTCCCTCATCAAACAGAATCCATGTCTCTTGAACCCACATGGGCCTTTTTGACTGGTGGAGAGTTGCGGAACACTATGTGATTTTTGAGATTAAATTGCTCTGTTTTATTCTCCCAGAATGTTAGCTTTTGGAATGTTGTGACTGTACTCTGATGTCTAAGCTCTCTGTAGAGAAGCTCACGTGGTGGGGAACTGAGGTTCCCAGTCCAGAGCCTTGGCTGAACTCCTGTCTGTCAGCCGGTATAACTTGCTGAGTGATCCAGATTGAAAGTGGATGATCCCAACCGCAGTCAACTTTCCAAAGTGAGCACCCATGGAGTAGAGAGAAGCCATCTCCACTTAGCTCTGCTCAAATTTTAGGGGTGAAAGCAACATTATTATTGTTATTTAACTAGTTTTGGGGGTTGTTACTTAGTTGATTAATCAAGTTATTACTTGAGTCCAGATGTTCATCAGTTTACACCATTTTGTAAAGAAGCAGCAACATCTTAGAATAATAATTACATTTAGCTTTATGGCCACATGCCAACTTTGCCATATATCCATCAGTTTTTTGGCCTTATGACACTGAGCACAGTCCCTCACTTCTCTGAATTTTCTTTCCTTTTTTTTAATTTTTATTTATTTATTTTTTGACAGGCAGAGTGGACAGTGAGAGAGAGAGACAGAGAGAAAGGTCTTCCTTTGCCGTTGGTTCACCCTCCAATGGCCGCCGCGGCCGGCACGCTGCGGCCGACACGCTGCGGCTGACGCACTGCGCTGATCTGATGGCAGGAGCCAGGTGCTTCTCCTGGTCTCCCATGCGGGTGCAGGGCCCAAGCACTTGGGCCATCCTCCACTGCACTCCCTGGCCACAGCAACAGCAGAGAGCTGGCCTGGAAGAGGGGTAACCGGGACAGAATCCGGCGCCCTGACCGGGACTAGAATCTGGTGTGCCGGCGCCGCTAGGCGGAGGATTAGCCTAGTGAGTCGCCGCGCCGGCACTTCTCTGAATTTTCAACCCTTTCACTTTAAGATAGGACTAGCAATACTGATATAATCAGGTTAAATGAGATGTCATAGGTTAGCATGAACATATATATGAGGGTACTTCAAGATGTTTGTGTAGGGGTAGGTGTTTTACTTGCTGGTTAAGATGACTGTGTCCTCATCATGTACCTGAGTTTGATTCCTTTTTTTTTTTTTAAAGATATTCTGTGAATTTTTTTAAAGATTTATTTACTTATTTGAGAGGCAGAGATGCATACAGAGAGAGGAAGAGACAGAGAGAGAGGGGTCTTCCATCCACTGGTTCACTCTCCAAATGGCTGTAACGGTGGGAGCTGGGCCAATCCAAAGCCAGGAGCCAGAAGCTTCTTCCTGGTTTCCCGCATGGGTGCAGAGGCCCATCTTTCACTGCTCTCTCAGGCCATTAGCGGGGAGCTGGATTGGAAGTGGAGCAGCTGGGATTTGAATTGGCACCCATGTGGGATGCACTGCAGGTGGAGGCTTAACCTACTATGCCATAGCACTGGCTCCTGGGTTTGATTCCAGTTCCTGTCTACAGCTTACTGCTGGTGCAGACTCTAGGAGGCAGTGACGATAGCTCAGGTAATTGGATTTCTGCCACCCACATGAGAGACCTGGATTGAGTTCCCAGCTTTTGGTTTTGGTCCTGGCTCAGCTCTGGCCATTGCAGACATTTGGGGAGTGAAGCACCAGATGGTAGATCTTTGTCTACCCATCTCTACGCCTGCCTGTCTCTGCCTCTTGAATAAGGAAATAAATTTTAAAAATGTTTGTGAAAAATTGATTTAGAAAATATTTATTTTAGTAAAAAATTTTGAAATCTATACATGCAAGGGATTTTCAAAAAGTTCATGAAAAATGTGTATTATGACAAAATCATGTATGGCTTTCAAGATTTTTTTCACCAAATAAACATATTTTAATCCCATTTTCCCACCAGATTGAAATATTCTTGTATGTTATTACATACATAGAAGTATGTAATTACTATTATAATGGCCTAGGATCATGAAGATTTTCAAAGGGGGCCAAGGGAAACACAAGTAATTTTTTTCTTGTTTGACGACAGCATCTGCAGTCAGTTATTGGGAGAGTTTCTTGAGCTACTTCTTAAGTGATTGTGTGTGTGCGTGTGTGTGTCTGTGTGTGTGTGTATGAGAGGAGGGGAGGGAAAGATTAGAGCACTGTGGAGTTTCTCCCAGTGTGTACTGGCTGCAGGCTCTCCTCATTAAAATAATTGGAAATGACCACAGAGGCAGAGCTCAGCTAGCCTTCATTTTTTTCCCCCATAGAAGGCAAGGAATTTGTTTCAGCGCCAGCTCAGCAGTTCAGCCACCTTGACACACTAATTACTTGCACTGCCTGTCAAGCTTGGTATCTCAACCTCCGAAATTAATAGCTCTACTTTCAATAAGCAAAATTGTATTTGACTTCAAAGGGGGAACTGAACGAGTATCAGGGCATTTTTATGACTGAGTTTCCTTTGGGAGTTGGCTGACAATGTGGGTGGTAACATTGAGCCACATAACGGAAGGAGGATTTTCTAGAACCATCATCACAGAGCGAAGGGTCAGCAGCATTCTGGAATGAAATAGGCCCCCCACAAACGTTCTCCTTGCTCACCTGATTTCAGAAGTAGAATTTGATCATTTTGACAGAGCTCCATGAAGCCTGTTATCCGCTTTGCAAACTCCACCACGTACTGGATGGCGTGCGTGATCTGGATGGCACACTGCTGCCACAGGGCTTCCCTGGACTTCAGGAGGGAAAACACAGAATGTCAGTGGGGCGAAAAGTTCCTCGGAGAGTCGCAGAACACTGAGGTTTGCCCTGCCAGTGCTTACTCACCACGTGGGGCCGATGGTGGGAACTTGCACCGTTCCTATCAAAGTGGAGGGAATATTTTCTTTTTTGTACTTAAGAAAGTGTTTTGACCTGTTTTCACCTCAATATGCCACTATTGTCAAAGTACTGAGGCTAAAATAATAGAAACACTGCTTATAATAAAAAGACAGTTGAGTTATTTTCTCTGCACCTGAACAAATGTAAGGTCCTAGTCCATTATGTAAAAACAAACCCTGTGTTGAGGAATAGCGATTTCATTCACAGGCTTTCATGATGTCATTTTCATCGGTACCTGGACACTGAACATATGATATTTTTACATTATGTTCTTTTTCCAGAACTTATGGAGACTGTCGATTTTTTGGCATAAAAAGAGTTTCTAGCGAAAGGCATCAAGTCATATATTTAATATATTTATGCCTTTTGGTTATTTTTTTTGAAATGAAATAACAACCCATGTATGTTAATACTGCTTTTTATTGACAATAGTAATACCTGTGCCTTGGTTTTCTTATTTATATAAACATTTCATTAGAGAAAAATTAGTATGTTGTATTCACCCATTTAGCTATACAGCTATTTATCTTTATTAAAATTTTATCAGCTGATCAACCTTCTAAAGAGGATTTCATTTTTAAAGTAATGTGAATATTGAACAACAAGAAAACCCTTCCCTTAAAATCTTTTCCATTGAACACAAGAAGATATTCATAACAATAGCAATAATACTGGAGTTTCATTTTTTCGCCTGAATCCTTTTTATTAAACATGTAGGATAAGGGAAAGCATTTACAATGCCTTGTTCCCTACCTCTGGTGTGCAACTTTGAGACCACTGTTGTTGTGAATACGCCATAGCTCCTGCTATTTGCTGGACCCAAGAAATCATTATGAAACATCCTAAAATAGTTTGATGAAGGCACAGTCTCTCCAGGCACTTGAATAGGGCAGTGGTTTTCAATCATTTTTACCTCCCAGAGTATACTGGCAATACCTGGAGGCAGGTTTGGTTGTGAAGGTGTTGTTACCTATTGGCATCTGGTAGACCGAGCCCAGAGATGCTGCTAAACATCCCTCAATGCATAGGACAGTTCCTACAGCAAAGAACTGTTTGGCCTAAAATGTCAACAGAGCTGATGGTGAGAAAGCCAGAAATAGAGTAATGATGGAAAAATCTTCCCCACAGTTTCCCAGAGTACCTTGCTTTGATACGCTTTAATTTCTTCATAGGTATGAGTCTGCCACGCCAGCTGGTGCAGCTCTTCCATGGTGTACTGACACGTCTCCAAGTGGGACTTGATGATGTTCTGTGCAATTCGATCTAGGAGGAAGAATGTCAATTTGAGGGCTTGTGAGAAAAATCATTCTGTTCAGGGAAACTTGTTTTTAATATACTTACTTTAAAAGGGGCTTTCGGAGACACCCTAATTGTTTTAGAATGTCTTGAGCACTACTGTCCGTATTAAAATCCTCAAAGTCTTCATTGCCTTTTTTGAATTTTTAGTCTTTTAGTCAAAATTTATCATCCCTCCACCCATCACAATTTTGAGATCTTACAAGTTGTAAAGCATTGAAATAATTACTTATTTTAAAAATACTTACAAAGTTACTATATTTCTTACTTTTTGACCCAAAAGTCACTGATAGTCTCAACAAATATACACCAAATACTTTAAAATGTTTTGAAAATTACTAAGATTCTATTAATCTGTTACTTATTTCAGAAAATGGGGCACCAACATATAAATGTACTTGTTTATATTTTTAGAAAAGGAAGTTTACATAATAAATTAAAAAGAAAAGGTTATCTATACAGGGAATAAAATAGAAGAACATGGATAGAAGCTAGATTATCTGTTAATATTATTTTTGTAGATTTGACATTTTAAGCATGTACACATATAACATATTTAATAATGGTAAAGGGGATACAGATGAAATATTATTGGCCCATGAATTGATAATTATCGAAAGTGGGTAATGGGGCCAGCGCTCTGGTGTAGTAGGCTAAGCATTGTATATGGGTGCCAGTTCGTGTCCTAGCTTCTCAGCTTCTCTGCTATGGCCTGGGAAAGCAGTGGAAGATGGTCCAAGTGCTTGGGCCCCTATACCCATGTGGAAGACCTGGAAGATGCTCCTGGTTCCCTGTTTCGGATCAGCCCAGCTCTGGCTTTTGCGGCCAACTGGGGAGTGACCCAGTGGGTGGGGGACCTTTCTGTCTGTCTCTCCTTTGCTGTCTGTTACTCTGCCTCTTAAATTAAATAAATAAATAAATAAATAAATAAATCTATCTTAAAAAATAAAGTTGATTAACAGATGCCATTGCATTCTCTTTTCTAGCTCTTTATCTAGTAAAATTTCTTTTTCAAAAGTTATAAAAGAAAATATTATATTCATAAAAGTAGTAACAAACACAATTTGTCTTTTAGAGTAGTTTCTCCCCAAAGAGTTGTAATTTATATTGTATCTTAAATACCAAATATTTTGCTTTTGGAGGTATGAGAGGGGAGTGATAGAACCGGATGGAAGAGCTTTACTTAAAAACTTGTTATGAGGCCTCTAAAGTTGGATAGATCTGGTAGGAGGTTGCTCGTAATTCCATCTGCTATTTGAACACATAGAAAAGGTGACAGCTTGAGAAACCAAAATACACAGGAATTTGGTATGTGGGGTGTGAGTGGAGTGACGGTGACCAGATCTTCTGCCTGATAACTGTTCTTGGCTCATACAGCAGTGGAATTTTTCTTGTGTTTCAAGTTGTGCCATTTCAAATTTCTGTTCTTTGTCATATTTAATTTTTTAAAGAGAGCTCTCAAAACAATACTTGGGTGCCTTCTTTTTATCTCACTAAGCTCCGTATAGTTATGGTGTGAATTAGATTGAGTTTTAGTGATGTAAACTTTAACTTCTAATAAACTTACCAAACAAAACTCTCCTACAGCAGTTGCCTGGCACATTATAAATACTGGATGAAAGGTAGCCACAATTTTCATTGCTAGGAAATTCTTATGGTTTGTTAACAGCAAAGCAATGTGGTGACTCTAATGCAGAAAAAACTGAGACATACGATTTTGTGATCAGTGCCACTGAGGGAAGATAATTCAATATTAGAGTTTTTCAATCAGAACTCCAATGTGATAGAGGCAGAAGATGCTACAAAATGCTACCTAATGGTATAATTGTACTCTATTGGTTTCATCATTGAGCATTTATAGACTTATATTGCTTATAATATTACAAAATCCTTTTTAAAAAAATCTTATATTCAAAGTTTTATTGAATATCCTCTTGTGTCATAATAAAAGAAGATAGAGATCATCATACACATCATATTAAAATAGACTGATGTCATGGTTCATCATTTTTCAATTTAACTTGGGCAGTCTAAATACTTAGAATCTAAATCTGCTCTCTGGTTGGTATATAATGAAAACATAAGATTTTAGAACTCTATAGTTCTCAAATCTGTAATTGCTTGGGCTAGTTTGTTTTTTCACCTCCAAAAATTTATTGATAAATTATAGACTTCGGGGTTTATAAGCAGAACTGCAATTTGCCACTCAAAATTACATTGTTTTATAGAAAGCTATTTGTTTATTCTTGGCTCTCAGGAACTGTTTTTTTTTTTTAATATTTATTTATTTATTTGAAACACAGAATTAGAGAGAGAGAAAGAGAGAGAGATAGAGAGAATCTTCCAACAATTGGTTCACTCCCCAAATGGCTGCAAAGGCCAGGGCTGGGCCAAACTGAAGGCAGGAGCTTCTTCCGGGTCTCCCAGATGGGTACAGAAGCCCACGCACTTGGGGCATCCTTCACTGCTTTTTCCAGGCCACCAGCAGGGAGCTGGATCGGAACTGGAGCAGCGGGGACTCGAATACGCACAGAGGCTGCCCCCCTCAGGAACTGCTTGTCACAGCTACAGGATTCTCTGGCCTTCTGTCACCAAAACTTAGTGTTCCATGGAAGTATTAGGAGGGGTAGGGATAATAAATACATGGGCAAGTGAAGTAAAATTGGAAGTCAGAGCCACACGTGTGAGTCAGGACTCAGCTCAGACTTCGACTCCGGTTAAAGCTCTCCTCCCTCTCTTGTCTCATGAAGAAGGACTGGCTGCTACCACACTTGGATTCTGCATCCCACTGAGCCCTTATTCTCATGAGGCTCACACTGTGGTCATCTATGTGGATCTGTTTCTTTCTTTAAGATTGTGAGCTCTTCAGGACCTCAACAGCAAAGTGCAGCACACAGCCTTCGTATGTTCATTCAACAAATGATATTGAGAAACCACTCTAGATCAGGTCAAGTGACAGATTAGAAAGAAAAGACAGTGCTCTTGAAAGAAAGGATTTTACAATCATTTCATATCTTGATGTGGTAAACGCCCTCAACGAGTTAGGTAGAGACCCAAAGAAAAAAGAGTCTGACTCAGTCTGGCAGAGGCAGAAAAGGAACCACAGAGGAGATGACCTCAGTCTCAAAGGATGAGCCTGAGTCTGTCTCAGGGAGAAGAGAAAGATAGACCTCAGCTGGAGGGAATGATATTACAAAGGCATAAATGGAAAACTAGCACAAGCTAAGTAATTTCTGGTCATATCTCTTATTTCTTTATAATACTTGCTTCTTTACTGGGGAAAGAATTAGGTGCAGAAATAGAGAGTGACTCTAGACTGATTTCTACAGACCTAGCAAACAGCATTCTGAAACCTGGTCCATCTTTTCTTGCAAGAAGTGTGGTTTGTTTGCAGCATAGGCTGCATGGGGGAGAAGGGGAGAAAAGAGTCTGAGAGAGTGGGTGGGGCATGAACAGTTGCATAAGCTGGCTAAGGAATTTAATCATGGAGGGCTTTGGGATTTTAGCTTGGGATCTTGGGATCTTATCTTGTAGGCAGTTGGGGCCAATGGAAGCTGTGAAGCAAGGGAGTGACGTGGTCAGTTTTTGGGTTTAGAAAGGTGATCCTAGCCATTGCAAATAAAAATGAGATGGCATTAGCATACATATGAGATTAATCAGGTTGGTGTAAAATTCAGCAGAGTCTGGAGTAGGTGATAATGTCAGAGATGGGTGGAGGGGTCAGATTCAAGACAATTTTGAAGGAGAATGCATAGGACAAGCACATGTGGCAATAAAAAAGAGGAAACAATAACATAGTAGGCATTGGACTAATGCTGAGATACTAAAGATAATATTGAAAATGTCCCTTTATCCATCTTCCGTCCACCGAGTCATCCATCCATCCTTCAATCTCCCTTAGCTCACAAAGGATCTGAGAAAGCTAACATCGACCCTTTGTTTGATGATTTTAAAGCCTGGGCACACAGAATGGCTTTGAAATCAAACATCAAGCATGCACAATTATTTCCCATGCTGTGGTGAGAAATAAAAGTCAAATTGTCTCTTGGACATAGGTTTGTAAATGGCAAGGAAGGCAAGGCATTGTCGCCGCATTCCTGCTCTGCCTTCTCCCACTGTTCTGCTGTGCAGAGGTGAGCCACGTGGAAAAACCAGCTTGACCCTCTCAAGGCTCAGGTTGGAAAAGCACATGGAAAAGCTAGACGTGATCTCAGGGGAGCAAGGTCGGAGGGCTCCCTCTGTCAATTAGAGAGATGCTGGAACATCAGAGGAGATAGTTTTCTTGGACTGAGAGTCTGCAGTTGTGAAAAGGAGAGAAGAATTTAAAACGAAAGGACAAAGGGAGAGACAATGAATACAGTATGCAAAGTTCTTGCTGGGAGCCAAAGGAACTTTCAAGAGTCCTTACCTGGAAAAATAGAAAAGGTAATAGTAAACGCGGTCCTCTCCAGGGACCAACCACATGAGAAAATCCAGACAAAAGAGACTGAGGCGAAAGAGCGGAGGATATGGAATCTTTCTGGGCAATCACACACTCTTCATCCGTTACCCTGACTTGGATTGCAGCTGTTTCTCAGAGCTCAGTTTTTGTTAGATTTTTTTTAGCTTGGGCTGCAGATGGGACAAGCTGAAGAAGGAGGAAGCAGACTCTGTGCTGGGATAATGGGTCCATCAGGAATATGGCTCAGATAACTAACTCCTGGGAAACTTCACCACTGTCAGAGGTGATGCCCGTGGACTCTGCCCTCTGCCCTTCCTGAGCCCAGGGGTGAGGCAGATGACTTCCTAAGTGGATGGGAAAGGCATCTGTTATGAAAATGTGCCTACACCTCATCAGTAGTTAGGATTCTGTACATATATTCAGAGACTCAAATGTGTGATCAATTCACTAAGAGTGTGTGGGCTGCTTCAATAATTAATAAAATGATGTTGAGGATGGAGAATAATAACTTTGTATGCTTGGTTTA